CCATTTGCCAGGCCAGAATTTAATATTGGTCCATTAGGGCAATGCTGGAACTTCACTGTTTCCAAGCAGCAGAGAGCCAGAGAGCACGTGCAGAGGTAGGGAGGCCATTTCTGAGGTGGTTGCTGAGGCTGAGGAGAACACTGTCTGTATGGCCCATAGCAGGGGGGAGCAGTGAGGGTAGAGACCCCTAGAAGATCAAAAGGCCTCAAGAGAGGCAGAGTACTGAGAGGAGGAAGAGATGGGGTGAAAGGTGATACCGAGATTTTGGGGGGACTCTGGGAGGTTGAAAGGTGATGAGGGAGGGAGCCCTCTGTGGACGAGATGAGGACCTCCAGGAAGCCAACCTGGAAATGCCTAGAGGCTGGTGGGCTATCTAGTGGGGTACCTGCATCTGGTGCTCACATCCTCTGGAAGCGTGACTGTGGGCTACAGCCTCAGAATTGGGTGTCATTGGTGGAAGGTGGGGGGAATGGGAAACGGGGAACACTCGTGTGTATAAGTAGCTGAGGTTACCCAGAGAGGAGAAAAGAGCAAGTCCCATGAATGGAAAGAGTGAAACATGGAGCTCGGGCAGCGTAGAGTGAGTTGTCCAGGATCTGTGACTGGCTTCTGGCTTCTTGCCCCCTAAGCACCCCCTAAGGTCTGCCTGGGACACGAGGCCTCAGTCTCCCACTGAGGAGATCAAGTGGGCCTAGGGCTGTTTCCCCTGACACTCTGGTTCTATGAACGACTTCAGTCCCAGGAGAAGATGGGCAAGTGGCACTAGCCACAACCTCTGCCACTGAGTGACCGGGGAAGGCTGATCCTGGGCTTCTCTTGGCCACAGGTGACAAGTACTGGGTGTTTAAGGAGGTGACGGTGGAGCCTGGGTACCCCCACAGCCTGGGGGAGCTGGGCAGCTGTCTGCCCCGAGAAGGCATTGACACGGCTCTGCGCTGGGAACCTGTGGGCAAGACCTACTTTTTCAAAGGCGAGCAGTACTGGCGCTACAGTGAAGAGCGGCGGGCCACAGACCCTGGCTACCCCAAGCCCATCACCGTGTGGAAAGGGATCCCACAGGCTCCCCAAGGGGCCTTCATCAGCAAGGAAGGATGTATGTAAGGGCCGGGCTGGGTGGGAGGGGTCTCAGCAAGTCCCACGGGCACACTCTCAGGGTATCCAGGTTCGAGAAACACCACCTAGGAGCAAAGACAACTGCCTCATATTCACCCATGTTCACACAGTAAATTCTCTTACCAGCTACCAAGTCACAATTTCTCATCCTCAGGGATGATTCGCAATTGAGAGATGTTTTCATAGACATACTTCTTTCCTTCAGACAGCATTCCTCAGTGGTCCTCAAGTGTACCCTAGGAGTTCCTTGAGTTATCAGATCTGAAAAGCAATGATGGATATGATGGTTCAAAGGTGATTTTTCACAGGGCTTGAGGGAAGGAAGGTAGAGAGAGAAGACTTTTTTATTTATGAGACATTTTCCAAGCTCCTTCTGGAGGCCAGACTAGGAGCTTCTCAAGAGGAGGGTCTGGATCTTGCCAGGTGCAGAGTAGGTAGGTACCCATAAATGTTCATTGAATACATCTCCACTGATATGATCAAAAGCACAGCCTGGCTGGTTTCACATCCCATTTCTACCACTTACTATGAGTTTGGGCAAATCACCTGTTTTCTGTTTCCTCATCTATAAAATGGGGATAATAAGGGTACCTACCTCATAGGGTTTTGTAAGGATTAAATAAGATAAATTATGTAAAGCACTTAGACCAATGCCTAGCACATGCCCCATGCCATATGCTTTAGCTGCTATCATCATCATCATCATCATCATCATCATCATCATTATCATCATCATCTTGTTGGTGTGTTTTAGTTTACATGGAATGACAGATTCATTCACTCCACAATGATTACTTAGAACCAGGTTGTGCAGGAGGGCTGAGGATGGAGCAGAGAACAAGGCTTATACTGCATCCTGGCTCCCAGGCCAGAGGCAGGAAAGTAAGGTAGCAACAAATGCTGTAAGGGATAGAAATGCTGTGAGAGAGCAACTAGGCAGAGGGGGCCACGTTAGAGAAGGTCATTGGGAAGGACTCTGAGGAGATGTTACTGGTAAGAAAGCCAACAGCCACAGGGACAGAGCAGCAGCTATCTGGTGGCTCTTCTATGTATCTAATGCTTTAAACACATGATATTGCTTTCTGGGGAGCCTCAGAGACAGATGACATCAAGGACTTTGGCCAATGAAAGTCCCAGCCAGGGTTGGGAGCCGGCCAATGAGAGCCTTCTGAGTGCATTGCTTTCCATCTCTGGACTGGCTGGTGACTAAGGCTGTTGCTGGGAGCCTCGTGGTTGCCCCCCCATCCCTGCTACCTTCTTTCCTTCCAGCCCCTCTCCTAGAAGGATCCGAGACCCTGCAATCAGTGTTGCAAAGTGATGTGTACCAAGCCAAAAAAAAAAAAAAAAAATCCATGATAAATGCAGAGGTAGTATCCGCTGTCAGCAGAAGGAGAAATCTTGCTCCCTGCCTCCCTTGGCTCAGGCAGCTGGACTGAGGCCCTAGTGCTATGGACACAGTGCCGCTCAAGCCCTGAATTGGGGGCTTGATCTGACCAATGTGAGGGTGCCAATGGGCACAGTGTGACAGAGTTGTGGCCCCAGGCCAAGAAAGGTCCTGTCCAGCAGGCACAAATTGAACTTACTAATCCTACTTAAAGCCCCTCAATGGCTGCTCCAGGTCCTGGGTGCCCCCCTCTGCAACCACACTATTTGTAGGATGTGCAAAACACTGCACCCCCCACATCCAAGTGTGCTGACACACTGCTCCCACCAGCTCATAAGCCCACCCCTCCTTCAGAGCTCCTCTGGGGCTCGCCCAGGGTGGGAGAGGTGCCCCTCCTCCATGCTGCCACAGCACCTCACACCCTCTCACACACCCAGAGCAGGTACAGGAGAAGTATCTGGGAGTGGTGGTGATGCTGGGCTGTGTTTTGCAGATTACACCTACTTCTACAAGGGCCGGGACTACTGGAAGTTTGACAACCAGAAACTGAGTGTGGAGCCTGGCTACCCGCGCAACATCCTACGTGACTGGATGGGCTGCAACCAGAAGGAGGTTGAACGGCGCAAGGAGCGGCGGCTGCCCCAGGATGATGTGGACATCATGGTGACCATCAACGATGTGCCAGGTTCTGTGAACGCGGTGGCTGTGGTCATCCCCTGCATCCTGTCCCTCTGCATCCTGGTGCTGGTCTACACCATCTTCCAGTTCAAGAACAAGGCAGGCCCTCAGCCTGTCACCTACTATAAGCGGCCAGTACAGGAGTGGGTGTGAGCAGCCCAGAGCCCTCTCGATCCACTCAGTCTGGCCATCCAGGCCCTTCCTCACCAGGGCCTGAGGGGCAGCTCTGGCCACTGCCCACCGGAGCCAGCAGGGCCCTAGGCCAGGGGTCATGTAGTTGAAGTGGTGGGTGCATTGGCCTAGGCTGAATGTGGGGCAGGGATTGATGGCAGCTGTGCCCTAGAGTGAGTGTCTGGCACCCAGACGCCAGTCTTCTGTCCTGGGTAAACTGCTCCCTACTCAAGGCAATAGGACAGGCACCAAGCCAGGAGGAGGCCCTATGGTCACTGCATCCAGTGGTGTCCATGAGACACCACAGCTTGGTTCCTGGCTGGACCCAGCACCTTCTGTGGGAAGCCAGCACTAGCACTCTCAGTCCCATCTGGGAGAAGCCACCAGTCCTGGTCCCTCTTTGCCAACACCTGCTGGTCAGATGTCCCCCCACCCATACCCCACTGTTCTCCAAGGCTACAGGACCCTGCTGCCAACACGGTGGGTAACAAGATGGGTTTCCCCTGCTGGCATGCAGCAGATCCCTCAGGAAACCTGCTCCATACACCAGGGTCTCCTCTGAGACCCAGGATTTAGGGTCACATGCTGCAGGCAGGGCTGTGGCCCAGCTGGGTCTCACAAGGACCTGGCTGTCACATCTTGAATATTTAAATGTCCTGTCTCTACTGTTTAAAGTCCCATTCTGCAAAGGCTGCTTGAGGCTTTAGGTGAATTAGAGGTGACTGTCTTGGTGATGAGGCCAGCGTGGCAGGCCCTCCCCCATGCGATGAGGACCAAGGTGCTGCTAAGGCCACTCTACCGCCCATACACTCCAGAAGCTGAGCCCTGCTCATGAGGCCAAAGCGCTGGGACAGGAGCTGACCCCGTGTCTGGAGGCTGATCTGAGCGTGTGACCCTCCTTTACTCCCTGACTCTGGCCCCATTCCCCATCTCCCCTGTAGCTTGGGGCCTGGGGACTCAGCCTGACTAGTTACGTGAGGCAGAAATGGCTCCAGGCCAACATCCTCATGGCCTTGGGGTAAGGGACTCGGGGAAGTCTTCTGAAGTGCTCAGAGCCCACACTCCCCAGCTACACGGAGGCCCACTCAATCTCTCAGCCCAGAACCAGTGTTCACATCATGAGCTTGGCCCTTACTAACCCAGCTCACTAGGCCCACCTTCCTGCATTGCTCTTTAGAAAAGGGCACCCCCAATGGGTCGTGGCCCCAATCCTAGGGGCCCACACTACACTGTCTCTGGCAGGGATTCCTAGGGGTCATCTTGCCTCACTCCAACCCAGTGGAGGCAGCCCTGCTTGTCACTGAGGAGCCCGAGGTAAGACCAATGGGTTCAGTGATGCCGGGTGGCTCTTTGCCAAACCCAAGAGGCAGTGTCAGTCTTTAGGGTGCTGGCAGGGCCTCAGATGTCATCCTGGCCCTCTGAGCCTACAGAGACCTTGCCCTGACCTGTGGCCTCTGGTCTGTGGGTTGGCTTAACCTGTAGGAGACAGGGACTTCTGCCCTGGGAACTGTCTCAATCAAAATCTCTTGTCCCAGAGGAACCTATTTGGGTCCACTGTGTTCCCTGTCATTATCCTTCTTTTTTGCATTTTGGCCAAGGGCGGGCTCCCTGGGGCGGGTGGGGAACAACTGTGGAGATATTAGTGATTCATAGGTTTGTACAGTGTTTTATACTTTGCAAAGCACTTTATTAGCTCACACCTGTCCACTCACATGAAACTAGCGTAGGCCCTGGGAAGCTGAGGGTAATTCTCACCCTGCCCTCAAATGAAGCACAGAGAGGTTGTTATATGCCCAGGCTGCCCAGTGGGCTGGCTGGGCCTTGGGACCCCACCTGTGGACCCCTCTAGGGTCCAAGATGAGATCAGAAGTGTCTCTTTTATCCATCTCTTCCTGGTCTCCCTTCTCCTAGTCCCAGTCCCTTTCCACTCCTCAGGTTGGTGCTCTCACTTCTTGAAAGCTCTAGGCCCCCCAGGCTCCCCGTTGGCTCCTGGTACTACCAAGGTCAGGTGAGAAAGAGCAGGAGATGGAGGCAGGCAGCCCAGGCTGCAGATGTGAGGGATGTAAGGCTAGGCCCAGAGAGGACTCAGCCTGGAGGTTTCCAATCTAGGATTCTCCTGCATTGTCTTGTGGTCATCTGTTTGTCCATCACCCCAGGACAGAGCAGACAGAGGCGAAAAGTACTGGGGGTCCCAGAGCCTAGCTTCCCCTCGGCCTGGGGAACATCACAGCATTTCAATGTCAGTCACATTTTAAACTGATCAGCCTTTGTATAATGTTTTTTAAATCATTTATAAATAAAACAAAAATACAGAGTGTGTCATTTCTCTTGAACGTGGGAAAGAGGATCAGGTTCTGGGAGTGGCTTTGAAACTTCTGGGAGATGAGAAACAGGGTCCTTTAAGGTGTCCAGGAACTGTCCCATTCATCTCATCTGCCAGCCCAGCAATCAGACGTCCCCTTCCTCCAAAAGCCTAACTCGAGAGCCCAGAGTTACTGGAGTCCCAGGAATACAGCCCGATAGTGTCTCATTGGGATCCAGGGTGGAGGCGCAACCTCCCCCAGGAGGAGAGCAGGAAGGGTCACTGCGGTAATGTCTTCTCTGGAGTCAAGGCACACGGTGCAATGACCAGGAACAAAAGCAAGAGCCCAGTTTTCAACAGTAAGGGACAGGTGAGGTCAGGTGAGATAAGGTGAGGTGAGGTGAGTAGCCTTAGGGTCTTACCAAGAGCCCTGGCTCGGTTCTGGAAGTCAGTGACAGGAAAGGCTGACCCAGGATCCAGACGGCTGGAGTTGTGTGGTGGGGGTGAGCCCGAAGGTCTGAGGTGGCTTTGGTACCGGATGGGACGCAAACAAATTCAGGGTGGCAGGAGGCGCCGGAGACCAGATGGTGGCCCATGGACCCCCTCTCCGTGACCTCCTCGACTCACTGCCGTCTCTGGGGCGCCGGCTGGGCTGGGGAGCGGGAATGAGGGGGGAATACGTGAGGGGAGACACCGGGCCGTGGGGGCTGAAGACAATGGCTGGACCAGGCGAAGCGAACAGAACGGCAGGCGGTGAACGGCGACTCAGAGGGTCTGAAGGCGGAGAGTCAGTACCAAGAGGTGCAAGCGATGAGGAAGCGCACGTCATCCAGCGGTCCCCAAGGGCCGGGCTCGGGCCGGGGTCGCTGAGGGCCCTCGGGCGCCGCGGGCTGGGGCTGCGGTTGGGGCTGCGCCGGCTCCGCGGCGCCCTCGCCGCCGCTCAGCTGAGCGCCCATGGTCTGCAAGAGCAGAAGCCCGTCACGTGTTGGGCCAGCCCTACCCGCCCTCTCCAGCCCCGGCCCCGGCCCCGGCCCCAATCATGCCCTCACCTCGCGCTGCGGGCGCAGTAGATCCACAAAATTCCAGCTCCGACCTCCACGTTCCGCGGGCTTACGCAGTTGGGAAGGGCGTGGCTGGCGCTTTGACGTCACCGCTCTCCACCACCTACCGGAAAGTCCCTGGCCCCCGGGGCGGGGCCCAACAAACGAACCCACCCACTAGCAACCAGCCAATCCCGCCCCAAGATCCCGGGGCCCCGCCCCACACGCAGCCAGGAGACCAATAGAAGGCCCACCCGAGCTCCTAAGGTAGGGTTCTGCAGGGGTCGATCAGGCTGGCCCTGGCACCAGGCAGCCAGGCCATCCATCAGTGCTTGGTCAAGGACAAGACTGTGTACGGCCAGGTGCCCTAGGGCCCTTAAGCAGGGCTCTGCCCCAGGGTTCTCACACCCGCCGAGGAGAATTAACAGATTCTCATCTTGATATATAATTGATATACAATAAATAATTTATATATCTTAAAAAAAAAAAAAAGATTCTCATCCTTTGAAGCCCGAAGTACGAGGCTGAAGTGGCGTGGAAAATGTGAGAACTACACTATGGGGTGGGAGACTGTGGAACTGGAGTGTGTGTGTGTGTGTATCCTACCCATCTCCCACCTGAAACAATGGTGAGGGCTGGGTGCAGATTGAAGTCGCCAAACAAACACCACATTCATAATGGACAGAAGAAGCTGCCTTTAATTGGGTGGCACAGGACAGTACAGTTCTCAGCCAAGGGCCACAGGGCCTGACAGCCAGCACATGGCAGATTTTTGCAGTAACTAGATTCAGGAGATGGGCACAGGTGAAAAAGGGTTGGCACCGAGCCACTGGATACCAATGAGGTCTCTGCCACGCTTCCGCCAGCATCCAGGACAGACTGGGTGGGATGTTGAGAGGGAGCAAAAGTTCAGAGCCCCGAGCTCACAAAACAGCATGGAAGATGATTCAGGTGAGGCTAGAGAGAGAAGGAGTATTGTCAGCAGGTGCCTCACAGAGCACGCACGTCTCACCCGCCATTCTCAAGGTGCTTGCCTCCACCTGTAACCGAGGCCCTTTGTTCCAGGTCAGCCCTGAAGAGCCACACTCAAAGCCCCGTCCAGGTTCCACTGATACCATGAGTTACAATCCAGTCTAGAACTCTCAATGCTTAAAAACTAAAAGTAACTCCTTCCCTACTCAGGTGGGTCAACTCGTTAATTTATGCAAACTGTTATTGGTCTTAAATTGGAACCTCAGAGGTCAAGTCCAATAGACATGAGAGAGGAACGGGGGACTCAGGCAGGGAAAGGGATGTGCCTAGACCACAAATCCTCCAGTGACAGGGCTCAGGCCAGAACTTTTTTCCTGCAAGTGATAATCATGTGCATGATTATGAAAATGAAGTACGTATTTCCAATGGCCTAACACTTTCATTTTTAAGGTCTCACAGGCATCTCAAACTCGGGTTCAAAACCAAAAAAAGCTAATGAGTTTTGTCTCTTCCTTCCAATACCCATTTCTTTACTTTATCAAACTGCAATGCTGACCAGTGCTCTTGACTACCTGACTTGAACAATAATTTTTAAATTTTTAGTAGGTACCAATTATCAGGTTACAGAAATTTCTGTTCTTGGGTTGCTAAGAGGTTTTTTGTTTGTTTGTTTTATTCTTTAGTTAAATGATTACTGGTGTTAAGTACTTTCTTTTTTTTTATGAGAGTCTATGTTCCAAAAGGGCAGGAAGGGTATATTTTATTCATCACATCACTATTGTATGGCACATAATAGGTACTCAAAAAAACAAAAAAAAAGGTTGTTGAACAATGACAACCACTCGTACCACTTTCCTCTTCAGACCCTTTCCACTGCTCTCCAGTGACGACAGCAGTTTTATCAGTTATCAGGTCTCCAAACTGCCCCATCAGAATCACACATAGAAGCTTATTAAAATAACCACACATGGTTGGGCCTCACTCCAGGCTGGGGGAATCAGTAGGTGAGTAATCTTTGTCAAAAGCATCCAACACAGATGAAAGGTCAAAAACACAGGTCTACAAATCAAAACTTCTTGACATGGGGGAGGGGAGTTGGGGAGCTGGATGAAAAAGGTGAAGGGATTAAAAAGTTCAGATTGGCAGTTACAAAATAGTACAGCAAAGGGAATATAGTAAATAATATTGTAATAACTATGTATGGTCAGGTAGGTACTAGACTTATCAGGGGAATACTTCATAACTTATATGAATGTCTAACCATTATGCTGTATACCTGAAACTAATATAATATTCAATGTCAACTGTAGTTGGAAAAATAGTAATTCTTGACATGGGCATTCAGAATCTTCAACGCTCTGGGAATAGTACTTTTCCCCTTCACACACTCCACTTTTCCACCTCTGTGTCTATTTGAAGTGCTTCCACTCTACCTATGCATATTCAATTACCTACTCATTCTTTGAGGCCCAGACTAAGCGAACTGTTCTCCACCAAATCTTCCTGGATCCCAGAAGGTGGCTTACCAGAGCTTCCCAAGCCACTTAAGGCACCTTTTATTTCTCCTTTGAAGGTAGCTTAAGAGTTATGTGTGGTCACTACAACTTTTCTCAACCTGCTACACTAGGAGCCCCTCAGAGGCAGAGGTAGCAATAAGTTGCCCAACCCCACATGTAGCTCAATGAACATCAGGCAAATGAATCAATAAATGAAGAAGGGAGAATAAAGGGAAATACTGCCCACCATCAGCAGGAAGTTCATTACTGGGCATCTGATCTACTTTGCAGTTTCTAGCCTCTTAAAGATGCCTGTGTTGGTTGTGAAGGATCCTCAATGGAGAATGACAGAAGAGACCAAATATCCAGCACCTGCTCCTCTTCCAAAGGAGGAAGAGATTCTACAGCCTCACATGCACAAATCTCCAGGGTTAAGGCCCAAGAACCCACTTTTTAAAAAATCCACAAGCCCTGGCCAGTGTGGCTCAGTTGGTTGGAGCGTCGTCCCCTGCAACAAAAGGTTGGGGGCTCAATTCCTGGTAAGGGCACATGTCTTGGCTGTGGGTTCAATCCCTGGCTGAGGTGCCTATGAGAGGCAGCCAGTCTATTTTTCTTTCTCCCTCCCCCTTTCCTCTTTCTCTCCCTCTCTCTTTAAAATCAATAAATATTTTTTTAAAAAATCCAAATGATTGTGATTCTGATGCAATTCTCATCCCCTAAGTCTGTTAGGCACCCAAAGTCTCCTCAGTTCCTAAGAGCAGCCTCCCTTCCTTCCCTCAGTAAACAGCTCTTTCTGTCTCAGTCCACTGGCTGGAGACACCAACACACAGGCAGATACAAACTACAAAACCATGTGGTAGGTGATTAAGTAAGACAGATCAGAGGGAGGCTTTGCCCAAAGTGGCAATACACTAAACCAAGTCTTCAAAACAGAAATAGCAGATTCTCAAGCAATGCTTGCTAGCTGTACCCTGTGATAGCCTGGCATTGTACAGGTGTGCCCTCACACACAAGGAGGACCTACTGGTATGAATACGGTGTGGCTTCCATTATAGGTGGCACCTCCTTCCCCTCCCCTCAAAAGGCAAAAGAGAGGCCCGGGTACCTGTCAATGAGTGAATCCCGCATGCTGGTAGCAATGGTGCTAGGCTGGGATTCATTCAGCTTGAAGACACTCTCCACCACCGAAAGCTCTGTGCTGGTTGTGTCCTGGCCACAGAAGGCACACCAGTCGTTCACCACCATCCCGGCAGCAATCACCTCGCTGCCTCGGTTCACAGTACCCGCCTGCCAAGTGATAGCTCAATACGGATCATGGCATCAACAACCAGTCTCTCCCATCCAACCAAGGATTCCCCTGGAACCCTGCTCCCTGACCCGCATGCAGCCCCAATCCCAAACTGTGACAGGTAATAACCCTAAGAACCCAGAACCCAGGACAAGGGATCTGCTTCAGCAGGAAACAGAGGTCAGAGAACAAGAGTGCTTACCACAAGGGGGACCTGAAGGAGAGAGGACAGCTCATCCTGGTCTTCAATTGAAGTCTTGGGATGGACCAGCCCTCCTTGATTGCTGAAGACACAGTAGCTTCCTACTAACACCTGGTCAGCCACCGTCTGTCTGAAGACTTCCACCTTGAGCACATCAGCCAGGATTTCTTCTGTCTCCTGTCAGTCAAAGGTACTGTCCTCAGGGGCCAGGATTTGCAGGTCAAAGGACCCAGGGCCCTTCATGCCCAGAACCACCCAGGGCTTGATGCTCTTAAGCCCCTCACCTAGAAAAAGAAGGTGCTGGTCTCCCCATACCACCCTCTAAACCACGCTCAAGAGTTCAACTGTCAATCACCTCTCCTGGCCCTGTCTGTAGGACCTGATGGGTCAATCTTCCTGATTGTGAAGGATTAATATCCTCCCCGGCTTCTCACTGACTCTGACCACACCATGAAAGGCCTCTATTATCGCTATTTCAATGAGGGCCTAAAGTATAAGACCCCAGGTATAAAGAGCACAAGAGAATCCCCTAATTCCTGCTTGATAGGCAAGAGTGGCTAACCATTTACTAGACCAGTCTTTTGACTCTTGGGCCAAGGTAGGCTGCCTTACCCTGTCTAGATCTGGGTGGACCAAGGCCACGTAGTCGTTGCAGGTGGTGACATTGCCCAGGGCTGAGAGCCTCTCCTCTACCCGCCGGATCTGCACTGAGTCTGGGAGGGAGTTTCGAATATGTTGCAGCTCCTGGTCGGTGGTGTTGTTGGGTACTAGCAGGCCGTGTCTGTTCCCTGCAGAGACCCAAATAGGGGGTGGAGCAAGGAAGGACCGTGAATACACAAGATGCCTGCTGAGCCCTGAGGGCTGAGGATACAACCCAGCCCAGTTAGTTTTCCCAGGAAAGCTTTAGGCCCAGACTCCAGTCCTCTAACCCACTGACCCCTACAACACTAAGGGGGACCAGGAGTCCCACTGGGCAGGCCAGAGATAGCCCAGCAGTCTGTCCTCATCCACCCTACCTACTTTCACACCATCAACCAGGGGATCGGGACTAGCAGGAAGGGCTCTTGACATCATTTGTATATTTTGCTACTTAAAAAACACCACTGTACACCTACCAGTATGGTTAGAAATTTTAAAAGAACATCAATACCAAGTGCTGGCAGAAATATATGGAGCAAGCAATAGGAAAGGGGATTGATTAACCACTTCAGGTAATTACCTGGCATCATCCACTACATTGAATATCACTTAGCCTGTGACCCAGCCATTTTCTCCTGTGTATTATATATCCAACAGATATACATACATTTATTCACTAAAAAATATAGCAGCACTCTTTAGAATAGACTAAACTGAAAACTACGCAAATGCTTACTGTCAATATAACGGATATATACATCATGGTATACTTACATGAAATGTACTATACAGAAACAAGAATGAACAAACTACAATTATGCTCTGACAACAATGACTAAACCTCTGCCTCCCTCTACATGGGCGCAATTTTGTGAACTTTTGAACTCTCAGTTACTCCCATCATTAAAAAAAAAAAAAAAAATTCACCCAGGTTACAACAGAACTTGCTTCAAGTCCTAAGGTCATAGTTAGGAATAAGAGTGTTTGCCTTAATAAGAAAATGCTCAGAGGCCAATGTCACCAGAATTATGGTAAAAAAATAATGGAATAAACTCCTATATGACACCAAAGAGCAGAACTAGAAATAAGGGGTGGTAGTAAAGGGAGACAGATCCAGCTCAAAAAAGAACCAAAGGCCAGAGTCAGCAGTGCTGAGAGCTAGGGATTTAAGATTTAAATGAATAGAACAGGTTGACCAAGAATCTTCACTTGTCATGTTTTAAAGGTGGAAACGAATACTCAGAAATCCGAAGCAACTTGCCCGGAGTCGAGAGAGAGAAAACATTATATTATAATCTTGCTTCACACTAGGTGTGGCACCTGATGAGTCACTTCAGCTTTCCCATCAGTCAAATTAGGCCAATAATTCCTACCTCCCAGGGTCTTCGTGAAGAAGGAATGGAAACAAGTATAAGAGTGAAAGCCCTTAACATCATTTGTTGTTACTATAATCCAGAGACTTCGCCAGAGATTGTCCCTAACCTGTTTACATGGACTGCGTTAGACCCAGGCCTCAAATATTCTATAATGGATGAAAGCCTGGAATTCCCTGGGTCACCCGGGGTCCCCTCCAGGGGTGTAATTAAAGGTGCTGCGAGGCTCCAATCCCTCCCTCGGCGTCTTCCACCTGGCTTACCCACGCACATACGCCCGATGATGCGGCAGCCGGCGATGGATGCGTGCACCACAGGGATGGTCTCGGCGAGCTCGCCCTCGAACACACTGTAGGAACATGTTCTCGGTGGGACGCGGCCCGAGCCCTCACTCTGCCGGTGTCCCCGACTCCCAGCACCCCTTCCCCCCACCCATCCACACTCTGCCAACGGGCTCCGGGGCTCCCGCCGCACCTGTAGAAGTTCTCTGACCCTCCGACAGCCACCAGGCAGTAGGTGTTGGTAAGTTTGGCAAAGCAGCCGATCTCACAGTTGTTCTCGAACGACGCTCGGACCGCCATGAGGCCTGGGGTGGGGGCGGTGGGGGCGGTGGGGGCGGGAGTTCAAGGCCGGGGAATCCTCTCCGAGCCCGGGTCCCGTCCCCACGCCTTGCCGCGACCCCACCCCCTCAGGTCCCACCGCAATCCCACCCCTCTTGGGCCCTCAGTCCTCCGGTCCCGCCCTCTGGGCCCCTCCAAACTCTCCGGCCCCGAATCCTCCGGCCGCCACCCTTCACCACCCGGGGCGCCCGATAAGACCTTTCCGATCGCCCTCCACACGGACTCACCAGGTAACCGCAAACTCCACACGATACAACAGGCCCCTCTCAATCCCGAGTAGCTTTCCGTTTCCGCCTCCGCCTGGGAGACTTCCGGGAGAGCCCGGAGCCCCCAGCCACGCAGGAGGCCACTCTAGCTCCATCTTCTGGGAGGACTTCAAGGTTGCGATTGGTCAGGTGGTGACGCCGCCTGGCCCCGCCCCCAGCATGCTCATATTCATTCATTCATTCGTCCGTCATTCATTCATTCAGAAAGTTTTTAGGAAGTACACTCGACTGAGATTTGTGGCTGGTTGGCTATAAGATACACGGCAGGAGGATCCAGGAATGTCTCACAGATGAATTGATGATGGAGGAATTTACTGAAGTAAAGCCTGAAGAGGAAGAGCAGGTGTGGGGAAGGTGACAAAATCGAGTGTGAGATGTGAGACAGACGTCCAGGCCGGATCTGGAGCCCAGGGAAGAGTGAAGCGCTGAGATTTGGGGCTGAAGCCTAGGGTGGATGAGGGTCCATGGAGGTAAGACCAGGTGAGAAGTGAGACCAGGACAGAGGCTGGAGAAGGAGGCGCGGCCAGAGAAGTAGAGGAAACCAGGCTGAAGAAGATATTGAAGAGACGTGAGGATGGATGAAGCGGGCTCTTAGGGAGGGTCCACAGTGGACAAGGGTGTGGGGGCTGACTGGCTTCCACTATGTGCCCCTTGCATGTGCTCGATCACACTCAGCAGCCACTTTCCGTACCCGGGATAGATGGTGCTGGTCAAGAGACATGCAGTCGTGGGTGGGATATACTTGACCCACATTTTGCAGGATCTACAAAAGCCACAGGGCTCTCAGGATGTCACAGTGAAGGCAGAGAGTGCTTGGGTCCCCTTTCCTCCCCTCGGCCCTCCTGTAGCCATCCACAATCCTCCAGGGAGCCCTCCATAATCGCCCTAAATGGTGCCCTTGCCCAGCCCCCAAGGCGCAGTTCCATTATTCCGCTGCCTCCCTCGGGATACACCAAGCTGCTGCTGGGTCATAACATATCTGCCTTTATTGATTTGTATCACGTATAACACTGTCTCAGGCAGGTGCTGAGCTCAGGAAAAGGACCCACTTGTCAGCCTGTGCTTCTAGGAACACTCAGCAAAATGTGTGTGTGCATGTGCGCACATGTGTGCACATCCTCATACTCCCCAGTGCATCTCAGACCCACTCCCTCAGTCCCCTCCCTAGTATCTCTTTACCAGGAACTCCTCTCACCCTCTCCTCCATCTGTCCAAATCCTCCCCATCCTTCAAAGCCTGGCTCAAAGGTTGCCTCCTATAAAAAATTTTCCTCACCACTCCACCATCACCACAACTCTCTGCTCTTCATTCTCTACCATCCTCTGTCATTGGTTTGCTTTTAATTAGATATTAGCCTTGTCTTGCTGGCCTGTGGCTTAGGCACTTAATCCAGGGACTGGGTCTGATTCATTTGTCAGCCCTGTAGCATGCCAAAGCAGGGCTGGGTGCATAGCTTAGGAACAAGAAAATACTGGTTGGTACATGCTCTGTGTATGTCTTTATGTGCGTATTTATGATCTGTGGATCCTGAGGGTCTACAATGTGAATGAATGCATGTATTTTGTGAAGACATTCATTTAGCCAAACGGCATTATGGTGTTTATGGGTATGCAGCTTGTGGATGTACACCTTGTTAGTGTGCTATGTGTCTATTGTGCAGGCATTTGAGGCATCTCTGTGATCTGTGTATTTTGTGTGTGTGTGGACATATGAAGTGTTGATATTGTGTGTTGTGTTTGTGCAAAAACACAACTGTAACAGTCAGAGACACAGGTTTGGGTCCCTACTCTGCCACTTACTTAGCCCTGATTCCAAGTGAGTCATCGAATCCCTGGGCCTTGGTTTCCATATTTATAAAATAGGGAAGACTACACCTATGATCTTAGGATTTTTTACCTACTAGAGAGGTCTATCTTGTAGGATGTGAAGATGAAGGATGAGAAGTAACCAGTGTGAAATGCCCAGCACAGTGGCAAATGACATTAACTGTGGGTTCCGTTTCCCCATGTGTGCGCGTCTGTGCGCGTGTATGTGTGTATGAGCGAGAATCCTGAGCCCAGGGTGTGTCCAACCGTCTAACCTGGGCTTCTAGATACCGCCTTCTCCCCATGCAGCCTCTGCCTGAGCTTCCACCACAGAGCCTAGGATCTGAGAAAATCTAGAGTCTCGGCAGATGGAGGAGGGATATGTCCCTGCTGAGAGCAAGACTAGGACTCAAAGCGGCTTCGGAGCACCTTGAACTTGGACTTGTTGTACTTAGTGATGAGGTCTAGTTTGCTGTGTCCCAGGGTCAGCCGTTTCTCATCCTCAAATGGGCCATTGCTACTGCTACTGCGATGGCCTCCTGTGGGGTCTCCGGGGAGGTCATGCTCAGGTCCCTGCCTGGCACCCTGCAACTGATGATACTTGGTGATGAGGTCCAGCTTGCTGTGGCCCAGAGTCAGCCGCTTCTCATCCCCAGAGCCCACTCCAGGCTTACGAGCATGGCTTGGTCCTGGGAGACTATTGGGCCCAGGCCCCTCACCCCGGAATGGACCAAACTTTGTGATGAGGTCGAGCTGGCTGTGGCCCAAGGTCTGCCGTCGTTCATCTGGACCCTGCTTGCCAGCCCTGGCTGAGGAGTTGACTTCCAGGGGCACTCTGGAGCCCCTGGCCTTGGGGTAGGGCACCAGGAGGTCCAGTTGGCTGTGGCTGTGGTTTGGAGACAGCCTCTTATCCTCGGGGGTCCCATCGCCAGGTCTGGGGGGACCTGACTCAGGGACACACCCAGCACCTTGGGCCCGGGGCAGGATATCCAGCTGGTTGTGTTTCTGGTTTGAAGATAACCTCCTGTCCTCTCGGGCCCGCTCCCCAGGCCAAAGGGGGTCTGAGTTGGAGGTAACACCAGGATCAGGGCCTCCTGCTTCACGGGCTCTGGGGAAGGGGATGAGGAGATCCAGCTGGCCATGGCTCTGACTCAGAGACACCTTCTTCTCCTCCACTGTCTCCAGGCCTGTGCCAGGTACCCAGCGACCTCGTGGGGGACTAGGCTCCTGGCTTTCTGGGAGCCCATTCTCTGGGAGCCGGGACAGGGCTAAGACCCCCCGGGAGAAGGGGAGGAAGGAGCGCTGGCGAGTAGGCAGAGGTGACCCTACTGCTGGAGTCAAGGGGCTGCTGCCATTGTGGTTGAGGGCAGGGGAAGACTGGGACCATGGGGAAGCCCCCAGCTTGCCCAGGTTGGCCCTGTAGGGCCCCGGAGGGGAGCCATGGTTAGGATCTGACAGCTGGCGTTGCAGGGAAGGCTGGCCACTGGCCTTGCGACAAGCAGAGCCTGGAGATGAGGACCCCATACCCGTGTCACTGCAGCCACCGCCTCCTGGTAGAGCGAGGTAGGAGGAGCGGCCCATGAGAGGGGAGCGCTTGATGCTGCTGAGGCTGGTGCTAGAGGGCGATGAGGGCATGGGGCTCGGGATGCTGGGCACGAAGGCCAGGGCCACCGGAGGAGGGCACGGTGCCCTGGGATCCTCACCGCCGCAGAAGCCCTCCACAGGCCGTGACTCGGCATACAGACAGCGAAACTCGCGGTCAAAGTCTTCCACGATGCGGCCCCTCAGCTGCAGCACCATGCTAGTGTGGGCCTGGCTGCAGAGCCAGGTGAAGCTGGGGACAGAGTGTCAGGGTCAGGAGGCAAAGCGCGGGACCCTGGGCCCAGGCAGGAGTCACAACCAGAAGAGCATGCCAAGACAACTCCATCACCAGGGGGGCCCAAGGGAGGGGGCAGAGCTCTGACTCCAGAGTCTGTACGAATCCTAGCCCAGCTTAGTGGACTTGGGCACATGGTTTCCCATCTCAGGCCTCAACTTCCCTATCTGTAAAGTGGACCAGAGGCAAGGTTCCCTGAAGTCCCTCCAGTTCCAAGGTAAAATAGTTATTTTCTGTGCCAATGGCATTAAAGGAATCCTTCTACAGAGCAAGCGCCTCCAGGACCCAGCTGGGGGCTGTCTCACTCCCCACTCTATGCCCTGAGCCCTGCCCAGTGGCTGACGTGGGCGGCTGCTCAGCCCACGTTGGAAGAGATGGATGCGTGAAGGAAAGTCCGAGGCTGCCATATCCCAGGTGCGCTCACCAGCCAGTGGCCCAGCCCCAGGCCTCTCTCCCTCTGTCCCACTTGCTCACCTGTAGCTGCCCGCCACCACCTGTTCACAGTCGATGATGACAAACTTCTCCAGAGCCTGGCCCGTGAAGCGGCGGCCTGCCTTGCTGCAGTATGTATCCCCATATGTGCTCCGCACACGCATGTTCTGAGCCAAGGAGGGATGAAGGTTGGGGTCGGGGGTGACCTTAAGAGAATGGGACTCAAGCCATGTGTAAATCCCATGGGGCCTCTGATCTTAATCAGCTAAGGGAAGCCGGTACCCTTCTCCCTTTGACCCCCAATGCTCACTGACCGCCCAACGGACTCTTCTGCCCTCCCTAACTCCCCATGCCCCACCTCCCAGTTTCTGCCCCAGTCCCTCACTGACCGGCAGGTGCCCCCCATTGAGGTCCATCTTGTAGCACATCTCCAGAAAGTGCCTCACGTGCTCCTGAGCCAGGAGCATGTAGACGGGAACACCACGCCGGCTTGAGGCCTCCATGAGGTCACACAGGAGCTCCATGTCGGTGAATACATCCATCACCACAGCCACCACCTGGGGGAGGGAGGGAGAGCTCAGCCTTGTCAGGAGCAATGCCTGGGATCCCAGGAAAAGAGCGCTGGACTGAGAAGCAGGAAGCCAGACCCTGCGAGAAAACCTGAACTGGAAGTGCTTTTAGACATGACTTAGCCCAGCAATTCTTAACTTAGACAGAGGGAAGTGTCGCTTGTCTTATAAACCCCCAGAAGTTGTATGAAAGTTTTTGTGTGCATTCTTTTTTCTGACAGAATGTGTATCTGTCAACAGAATCTCAAAGATGTCTGTGGATCAGCTGCACCAGTCTAACGCTTCACTCTGCAAATGGGGAAACTAAGGCCTAGAGCAGGGAAGGAGTCAGAAGCAGGATCCAGACCCCAGTTCCCAGGCTGAGTGCTCGTTAGCTCCAGCCCTCGCTCCGGCCCAGGGACTGTCTGTCTGAGGTTCCCTTCTCAGGGGTCAAGAGCTGCAGGCCAGGCACCGGGGTCTTCAATGCCCTTTGTTAGGCCTGCCTCAGTTTCCTTGTGAAGCTACAGAGGTCTGTGTGACATCTTACACCTATGGACTTCCTCACTGCCACCCACGCCAGGTTTGGGACTAGGTTTTCCCCTCGGTTGAGGGACTGGGGCTTGTGGCATCCCTCGTATAATGGGCTGCCTCAGAGAAGCTCTGAGAAACCCCAGGCAACATCAAGCCCCCAACTGTCCCTTCCTACCCTTCCCATTTCATGTATCTGCAGTGAGAACCTCTTCTCTGAATCCATGGTGAGAGACAGAAGATGCAAATCAAAGCTGTCCGGCTTTGGCCACATGGAACTGGGTTCAAACCTGTACTCGGCTGCCTCCTAGGGATATGGCCTTGGGCGAGTTGCTTCACCTCTGGATGCCTCTACTTCTTCATCTACTACTTGGAGGTAATGATAGCTACTGTACATCTCGGAGTAGCTCAATAAACATTCGTTTCCTGCTGCCTTCTTAGCAAATGAGGACAGTGGGCATTGGGCAGCAGGAACAGGAAACCTTCCCAAGGTCACTCTGGGTGGTCAGTGACAGCCCAGAGCAGAAGCCTGGCTTCTGGCCCAGAGGTAGAGGGTCTAGATAGGGGATAAGGAGGCAAAACGCTGAGGGAGTCCCTGGTCCATGGCCCAGGCCTGACCGGGGGTAGGGGGAACAAGGACGTGCTGGAAAGATCAAAGGGACAGGGGTAACCACAGCAGCCACTTCACTAATAACCCCACTCCCAGTGCCAATTAGGCCTGGCCCTCCCCTGCCTGGGGCAAAATCAGGCCAGCCAGGGAGACTCGGAAGGTACCAATGATGTCCCAGCATCCCAGCTCCTGCTCTAGGTACCAGGCATCCTCTGGGCTGCTCCCCCAGACCAGGGCACTGAAGCAACCTACCTCAAATCCTGCCTGGGTCCCAGCCTCAGGCCAAACTGGAGATACAGCGCAGGGCGAACGGTGGACGGGGACACTCCCAGGAGTCAGGACTGTGCCTGAGTCAGGACCTCTTCCTCTCCCTGAGCCCTGAGCTCTATTTCATCAACTGACTGGACCTTCCTGAGCATGTCCCAGCCCCTCTGGCCTCAGTTTTCCTCCTCTGTAAGTCGAAGAGTGGCTCAGGTGTTCGGCCAGGTTGGGGTTCTTAGTTTGGGGATCATAAACCTTTTTGAGAATCTGATGAAGGCCATACACCCTCTCCCAGGAAAGAGGCAAAGAGGATCCTTCTCTGCAATATGTACTACTTTGCATGCATTGTTAGGGTGTCTGGAGTCTCTGAGGGCCATCCCCCAGGGTCTATGCTTATCCATAACGTCCCTGAGTGCCAAGGGGTTACCAAGATAAATAAAATACAGCTCACCCTCTAAGAAGAACTTGTGGTCTGATAGAGGGCAGAAGTTCTAGTCCCAATGCTGCACCTAAGCTGCGATGTGTCCTTGAGCTCATTCCTTCCCTCCCGGGGCCTCAGTTTTCATACCTGTGACATGAACGTCTGAAGAGATGATGTCCTTACCTTGCGGGCCTGGCTAAAGAGGAACCGCAGAAGGTCTTTGATGTTCTTGGTCTTGTCCCGCTGAAAGTGGACCACAGCCTGGGTGGGGCTGAAGCCTGTGGCCTGTGGAATCTCAGGCCAGCCCAAGTCCAGGTCTGGGGGGTCTATGTCAGAGGCCATCGGAAAGTAAGTGCCTGAGGTGACTTCAGAGAGCAGGCTGAGGTGGTCAGGCCCTGTTACCTCCAGTCCCTGGGCTTCGCCAAGCTCAGGGCCCCCACGTACATGGCTGGTTATGTATTCCACATCCAGGGCGCTCAGGAAGGGCAGTTCCCGCTCCTCTGAGATCACCCGCAGGTAGGCAGCCTCGCCCCGCTCCAGGAGGGCATCAGCCGCCAGCCGGGCTGCCTCGCTGTGCTGCAGCACCAGCGGCGAGCTCTCACGCCACCAGGGCCTCTTCAGTTCCTCCACCCTGCCCCGCAGGGGTCCTGCCATGCCCTGGGCTCCCGGGCCCCCAGGCCCTAGGCCTCCAAACATGCTTGCCCACCTGGCCGCTGTCACCCTCCAGCAGGCTCCATGGCCTGTACCTCAGGCTGGCTGCACCAGGAAGAAGACAGCAGCAAACCCGTCTCCTGCCTGCCTGCCCTGTGTGTGGCAGGGCCCCCAATCCGTTGCCACTCTATGTCAGAGAGCTATGCTCCGCCCCATTGCCCCTGGCTTCTCGAACCTGTTGGGTCAGCCTCACCTGTCGGCCTGCTGTTGGGACTTGCCCTCCCAGGAAAACGTCAGTGGTAGGCCCTCAGCACACTCCTGCCCCCACCCCACCCCAGCATTGCCTGCCCCATCCCCACAAGGCTCCTAGCAAGTTTCCTTCAAACCCTGACCTTTTGGAGGCCCCCTGGATGTTGTATTATGTCCCTGCCCAGGGGCACACACATATGTGCGCGCACACACACCAGGGTAGATGAAATGACTCAGGACACCGAGATAAAGATGTGAACACACAAGCATGCAGGCTGACTGACATACTGAGAGCTGACAGACACAGGCACAGGCTGCAGATGGACATGTGCAGACCACACATTTTAATCACATGTAAATAGGCCCAAACACTAACTCAGGAATTGGCCGTAGCCCCAAACATACCATGATGGATACATTGTAAGCCTCAGAACACCCGCCCTAAAGAGCTGACGGGAGTGTCACACAGAACTGCCAAGAACATGGCCTGTCTGTCTCCCATCCAGGCTCTCATTTGTTTCCATATGGCCCTGCCGCTCTCTACCTCCATAGCTGTGGCACTCAGTCACCTGTCCCCCACCCCACAGCTCTGAGCCCATCCTCCAAGGGTCTAGAGCAGTGGCTCTCACCCGATAGTCGCCAAGAATAGCCAGGATGTGTTACAATGCAGATCCCTAGGCCCCAGCCACCTGGGATTTCATTCCAGAAGGTCTGAGTAGGCTTTCCGGAGACTTCCTTTTTAATAAATGATGTGGTGCATCTGGGGCAGGGTGCTGAGGCCCACCCCTGACAAATGCTCTTCTAGACGGCCGCATTTCTAACACCCTCAACCCCAGGGGAAGCTCTTGGCCTGGTGGGGACCAGGCTGCAACCTTCCTCCCCACCTCAGGAGCCATATTAAATGGTTAGTGAGAAAGGATGTTTCAGAGCATGTGGTGGGGCGGGGGGACAGGAAACAAACTGCAAAGTCAGGAGGCAAACAGGGCTGGCAGGTTTCTTATCTCTGCTCCTAAGGGCCAGAGTCCCAGAGTCCCAAGGAGCATGGGTGGGAAGTTTTGTTCTGAGAAGGGGGGCAGGCCAGGTGCTAGTGGTCACAACGGTGCAGTGCCAATATTAGGAACCACCTTTTGATGGAGGGACGAGGTCCAATGAGGATGGCCAGGAGACCCAATGCCTTGTCTTGTGACCCTTTTTAGCACTGACTGCAATTGGTTTATCTGGTCTGTGATCAGGTCCAGAGCACATGTTCCTTCATGTGCCCCGAGTGTCACACAGGGCCCAACACATGCACAGGGGGCCGGGGGTATGCCCCCCCCCGCCGCCTCAAACTGAGCCCTTGGATCAAAGATGAATGGGGCTGGGCTTTGTCTTTAAGGAGTCTAGAAGTTTGAGGGGTGGACAATCGGGGGAGAGAATGACATAGGCCAAGAGCTGAAATGCTGGACGATTGCATCCCATCTCAGAGGCAGGAGCAGAAACTGGGGCACCAGGAGCTCAAGGGAGACCCTTCCCTGGGGCTGGGGAGGCTGTGTGAGGGGCAGGGGGGTGAGTAAGCAAAGCCAGGCTGTGGGAAGGTAATGAGCTGCGGGGGTAGCCAAGGTGGCAGGGCCTTCATTAGGGCCTGCTCCCCAGGTGTGTTTATGGGGAGAACCAGGGCCTTATCTGGATGGAAGATGTACTCCTGGGAGGGGAGGCAGCCACGTTTCTATGTTGCCGAGTTCCTGTGTTTATCTCAGCATGCATACGGCTACCTGATGGTATATATTTTTGGCTATTTTTAAAAATTATTTTTAACTCTGGTAAAATACGCATAACATAAAGTTTACATCTTAACCACTTACAGTTCAGTGGCATTAAATACATTCACAGATAGGTCATTTCAAAAAGAGCTTATGGGATCAAAACCAGGAGCTCTTAACGCTGTGACCTAAGATTTAAGTTCTCCGTAGGATGTGACAGACACTCAGTAGTGCTATGTTTTCCTGAGGAGATATAAAATTAAAAAAGAAAAAAAAGAAAAAGTACATTCACAGGCTGTGCACCCGTCCCCACCATCCATCTCCAGAATTCTTTTCGCCTGCAGGACTGAAGCCCTGTGCCCATTACACGGTAAGTCCCCATGTCCCCCTCTCCCCAGACCCTGGTAAGCACCACTCTACTTCCGGTCTCTATGGATTTGACTGCCCTAGGTACCTCATGTAAGTGGAGTCATACAGAATTTGTCATTTTGTGGCTGGCTTATTTCTCTTAGCATCATGTCCTTAAGGTTCATCCATATTGTGACCTGTGTCAGAATTTCCTTCCTTTTTAAGATGAATAATATCCATTGTGTGTATATACCATGTTCACCCACGGATGGAAGATGGGTTGTTTCACCCCTTGACTATTGTGAAGAATGCTGTTCGAACATGGGGGTATAAATCTGGCTCTGTGTTTTTGTATGTTTCCCTCTATGTCCACGTTTATATTATATTCCATTTTTGTGATTAAAAAAAACTGAAAATTGGCAATTTTGTATGGTTCAACTCAACATACATACCTATACCTGTGCAGAACTGTACCTGTACGTGTGTGTGTGTACATTCACGTACTGTGATGTTTGTGTGTCTGCTTGGCTGTCTTTTACTCTCTGGCTGCATGTCAGTGCATTTTTACCTGCACGTGCATGAGTGTATATATACTTGTGTGTGCACGTCCGGGCGCAGACCTATTTGTGTGCATGAGTGCCTCCGCAGTGGTGGTCTTTGACTCTGACTCTGGCACGAGGGAGCTCAACTAAGGGCAGGGATGGGAAGACTGAGTCAAAGGGGTCCCCAACATCCTGTTAATGAAAGCGTGTAAATCAAATCATATCCCCCAGGGCTGCAGGACGGGCAGCCCCTCCCTATGGGCTGAGTGGGTGAAGGGCGGCAGGAGGGTAGTCAGACAGATCCTGGCCAGGGGCCTGGCCTAGGGGTGGGGGCCTGGGCTGATGGGAACCATACAGATAGCTAAGCCCAGACCCTGGCTACAGTGCGTTGGGCACAGGCCCCTTAATAACAGTTATTAAGAGGAAGGAAAAAAATGTATTTTCCCGTCCAGGAGGTGTGTCAGGCGCCTGCCTGGCATCATTCTGCCATCCTGGGGGACATTTAGCCTTGTCTCTAACAAGCCAGGTGGCGCCTGGGCAGGTGACTGTCCTGTGGGGGTGGTGGGAGCAGAGGCTGGGATGCAGGCCTCCAGGTGCAGGCTGCTCTGATGTCAACACTGCCACACACCTTTAATGTGGCACCTCTGGGTCAGGGGAGATAAGACTCCTGGGGAGAGGCAGGCAGGGCGAGTAGGGAAACCAGAGTGAGCCCAGCTCCCCTGAATCAAAGCGAAGAGACCCACGATCTAGAAACACAGGGCCGAGCGGTAAGGAGTCCCAGAGGCTGGCTTGAGCTGGATATTAGAGGGTGAGGATTTCAAGATGTATAGAATGATAAGCAGGCTGTTCCAGGCTGGGGGACCAGCGGGGCAGGGGCATGACAGCGGAGGAAGGCGGGGGCGCTGGTGCAGGGAAAGGCCTGTCAGAAAGGCCACCTGTACATACTCTGCAGAGGGCCTTGCTGAAGTGCCGCCTCCTTGCAAAGATGACGGCACAGAGGCTGGGACGAGTCCTAGAGTGGTATGGTAGGATAACTTAGGAAGCAGCCCCCCCGGGGGAGAGCAGCCCAAAGCACCAGACTCCCAGAAACCACCCAGGGGGTTCACGGTCCTTGAGTGCCACAGAGGCCTTCGGGAGGTCGTGCTGGCTCTGACACTTAATGAGTTGACCAGCACCACCTCCTTCACCAGGTTGCTATGAGAAATAAATGGGCTACTTTGTGTCAAGTGACTGACTGAGAGGAGTAGCAGCTCAGTATGTGCCCATTCCCGAGCTTTTCTGACTGTGAAGGGCAGGGGCTTGGTGAAGGCCTGAAGACAAATGGAGCGGCGACCAGGAGTGTCTCCTGGTCAGGCTCTGGCCTCTTCTGGACCAAAGGGGCTGTGAATGTGACCACGGTTCCTGGCCATGTCCATGGAGCGTGGCCCTCGATTTGGCTGTCATCCCAGTTCACAGCAGGCCAGGTCCTCTCTCCACTTCACACACACAGACGCGTATTTGCACCTTTCTTGGGCACTTGGGACCCCAAGGAATGAGAATGTTGGCATTCTGTGTCTGGGTCTAGGCTGTAGACACAGTGACAATAAGGTCTCATCTTTTCCTTCAAATCCTTCCCTACCCCCGCCCCCACTCCATCCCATCCCATTCCGTGGTTCCGTGATCCAGCCACCTCTCCTCCCCACCCCCCCCCCCCCGCCGTCCATCCGATCCACCCCGCGTGTATTTAATGCCTGCTTTAGGCCAGCAGTGTGGTTCCAAAGGTGAGTAAGACTGTCTCTGCCCTGAAGGAACTCAGTTCAGTGGGGAAGGCAGACTCATAAATAACTACAAGCCACAGATTAAGCTGAGGTATAAACCAAGTGCTTGGCGTGTAGAGCTCATGGCCCATTCTGGAATCTTGGTGGAACCATGTCCCCACCCCCACCCCCAACCAGAGTAACAGCTGTGCAGCAGGCTCTTTCCCAGATGGTGACTAGGGATTGAAGGAGCTGTTTCAGGCCACAGGGAGAGACGAAAAGAGGAAAGGAGCAAGTCAGCACAGGCCCATGGGTCTGGTTCCTGACTGAAACCTCGAGGGAGCCTCTCAGGGCCTCAGCTCCTGACTGCAAGGCGAGCCGGCCAGGCTGAAGGTCTCCGGGTCCCTTAGGGTGTTCGCATTGTATTCTATCACTTTTTGACGTTATCAGTCAGTCAGTGCTTGAAGACTTCCTTCCTAGAAATGCCTCTGTCAGGATGTCCAGGACCTTTTCTTCCCTCAGAAGGGGTCCTTGACGAGGGTAGGGTCTGGGTCCTTGGCTCCCCAGCATGGCTCAAGGGGAGCCACCTGGAAGGCCCAGGAAACTTGTGATGGGTAAGTCAACATCCAGGCAGGGGTATGTGGGTGGAGGGGTACCGCCAGGAGCCTAAGGCCAAACCCAGTGTGGGGGCGGGGCAAGGCATGGTGGGACGCAGCAGGGAGAAGGCTGGTTAGATGTGGGCAGAACCAGGGCAACAAGGGTAGGAGGACTGCCCCCAGAGAAAAAAGTTCACACACTTTGGGACTGTCTAGATCTCGGTCCACAAAGCTGCCAGGTTCCCTTCCTTCCCGCTTCATCCAAATGGCAGAAGAACTCGAGATTCTCTGGGTGCCTAGATAGCACAAGCCCCCTCCCCCATCAGCCTCACCTCTGGAACCCCTTGTTCCTCATCTGTCCTCCAACTACTGGTCTCAGGAAATGGTTCCCTTCTCCCTTGCAAAGCCCAGCTCTTGTTCTCAAGTCCTGACTTCCACTTCCAGAGGGAAATAATACTAATACTCGTAATAAAAAATTATAATAATACCACCTAACATTTATGGGAAGTTCCCTTCCACTAAGTAGTTTATACTTCCTCAGACGCCGCCCCCCCCCCGCTCCCCGCGCTGCCACCGCCCAACCCACATCTTCAGCATTAGCCTGTGCTGAGGAGGCCTGTTTTTATCCTGCTCTCTTCTCCTAACTCCTATCCAAGTTTTCTCCATTTCTTCTCAGCCAGGCGCCTCCCAAGATACCACAGCTGCTGCCACATCCTTTGCAATCTGTATTCTCTCAAAAACTCTGGTCCTGAAATAGTCTCAAGCCCTTATGCCTCACCCACTTACTCCCTGGCCCTACTCTCTGCAGCGTGCAGCCCTAAGAGGCTCCTCCTGGAAGCCGTGGCCTCCCCGGCCTCCCTTCTGCGCTCTCTCCTGTGCCAGGTCCTGCCCTTCCTACTGTCCACCCCCTGCGAATGCTTCCCCCACGCCCTCCCCAGTCCCTGGTCTACCCTCTGCACTTCACCTGCGGGAGCTCATCCAGCTTCAGGATTTCAAGGGTCCCTTCCCCTACCTGCCAAAGTCAGTCATCCGCCCGTCCTAACCATCCCCTGGTGTCCACGCCTGCCCCACTCCTTTGCCCTCCCTGGGGATCTCAAGGGTCTAATTTAGCAGTTTTCGGCCTTTTTCATCTCATGGCACATAAACTAATTACAAAATTCTGTGGCATACCGAAAAATATATTTTTTTTTTGCTGATCTGACAAAAAAAAAAAAGGTATAATTTTGATTCGTTCACACTGGACAGCTCCTGTTGTGTTGGCTGTTGTCATTTTTTATTTGACAATCTAAGGGAAAGAGGTCAGTGCCCGACTAGTCAGGTGTCGATGTTCTAAAAGTTCTCACGGCACTGCAGTGTTTCCACAGCGCGCTAGCCGAACATGCCGGCCTGAGGGCTCCCACCAGACGGGCCCCTTGTGTAGACACAGCCAAGGTGCGCCCAGAGCAGCGGGGTCGGGGCTCGGAAGACATGAAACACTTCAGCTTTGCCACAGGGCCACCTTGCAGCACAAGGGGTTTCTTCTCAGGGGCCCCATTTCCCTGTGGCATGACGGGGGCCACAATCCCCACCCTGCCTATCGAGGGCACTGTAATTAGCACTTGGGAAAAAAGTAGCACAACAAAAAGAGGGTTCTTCTCTTCAAGCTCCCCTCATCTGCCAGACACCGCCGTCCCAGCTCCCAGGAGAGCTCTCTGATTTTTAATAGCCCTTACCTCACAGAACTGTCACTGAGGATTAAATGAGAAAACAAGTGAAAACACCAAGCAGTGTCTGGCACAGAACAGAAATGCAAAAATATATCGGCTGAATTGTGGCCTGGGCTTTTAATCTTAGCTTGATGTAAGTAATAGCAATTACTTCTGATTTTTAAAATTCTAGACAAAATTACTATTCACTACGCTGTTCAGTATTTCTCAGGTAAAACCCCTGGAAGACATTTTTCTCTGAAGAGTAAGGGAAACATTTGTTTCTTCTGATGAATAAGTGCGCTTCCTTTTATGTGACAATGGGAACCACATAACTTTAAGGCTTCCCAGTTTCTGCCTCTGGCTGCCGGGAAGCTCAAAGCAGTTTTATACTCAACTGCAGGTTCCTCACGCACCTATGCGAGGCAGTGAGAGAGGGAGAGAGCAAGGGCCCAGCGGGTGGGAGATGTGGGCCAGGGCACTTTTGGCCCCTTCTTACCCTGGATGACCCTACAGGCTGCTCTGAGCCTTAGTCCCCTCACCTGTGTCAAGGGGATAAGAACCATGAGGACAGTGCCTATTTATAGGACTGCTGTGAGATAATGCGTTAAAAACACTCCACAAATTACCCAAAAAGTCATGTGAAAGTTGGTTATTAGCAGCTCAGGTTTTCTAACGTGATTATTTTCCTTCTCTTGCCTACCAATATCTGCATCTTATCTTTTAGACTTTGTTTTGCAATTTTACTATAACTGTGTCTCTTAATTTGCTCCTTTCTGGAAGTACACAGAGTACAAATAAATGACAAAAGTATCCCCAGAGGTCAATCTCCCCGAGGACAAGAAATCATGTCCCTCATTTGTTTTGTATAACAAAAATATGCAACAGAAAAACATTTAGCTATGTACAGAACACTTCAGTTCTCCACACTGAACTGTCAAAACAAGCCGAACTATAGGTCAGACTGAGAATGGTTCGGAAAAGGGTTTTTTGGGGGGGTTCATAATGATCATGATCGATGATTTAGTCATTCATTCCTTCTTTCATTGATCAAAGCTTACCCTGATGCCTATACGAGGCAGGCGCCCTGCTGGGCCCTGGGAAAACAAAGGTGTTGACCCCAGTGTCCACTCTGAAGGAGCTGACAGTGCAGGATGGAGGGTGGGTGAGTAAAAAGCAGTTTCAGCGGAGGATACCGCCTGGCGTGGACAGAAGAGGGTATTTGACAACATCTGGAATTTCTTTAGCAAAGAGAGGGAGGGAGACAATCCAGGCAGAGGAAGCACACAGGATGGTCTCTTCCCATAACTCCAAGTGGTTCCATTTGTTCAGGAAAGAAATGGGTTAAAGACTCACAAAAACAAGCATGGGCCAAACTCAGAAGAGCCTTGCGGCATCTGAAGAGCCTGGATTTTCTGTTGCAGGGGTGGCGGGGTGGGGGGGGGGTGTAGTCAGTGAAAGGGGCTGCTGGCCAGAAAGTGAGGGCTTCAGGACATCACCCACATGACAGACTGACCTGGCCCTTTGAACTGCAGCATCGTACGCAAGCTGCACGCAGTGTTTGGTGATTACGCAGGAAGACAGGCCTGGACTCCGAGGCTGGGACCATCTCCTGCTGGAGGTGTTCCTTCAGGGCCTGGGTGAGCACAGGCCGACTGGGAAGCTGAGAAAGGGAGTCAAGTTCTGGACCAGAGCTGGACTAAAGGACCTTCCAAGTTCCTTCCAAATCAGAGATTCCATGATTCTAAAGCAAGCCCGGTAGCTGAACTGGAATCTGTGACTGAGGAGCTGCCGTGGGCAGCAAATGGGTTAAGGCTCAAATAACTTTTATATATGAATTAATGTGTAGAGTTGGGAGCCAAAATCTGTTCCATTAATTTTTCCATCCATTCCAGGAGCAGTTAGGTACACACAGTAAAGTTTATTTTGGTGCATGGTATACTTCACTCCATTAAAAATAAATTAATCAGCAAATTCCTGCCTGGCTCAGCTCTGGTTTATGTAAATAGTGCCCAGCTGTAATGAGTTACAAGGTGTTATTATCTCACACACACAGAGGAGGCTTCACTCTAGAGCTCCGCTCACAACAAAAGCATCTTAAATAAACTCAGAGAAGGCGGTTTGATTTGTAATGTTTTCATAGAAGTGGGATATACCTCACCCATATAGAGTTTCTTTATATGACTCATTTTATAGCAAGTTAAATGAAGGAAGTTTGATGGGGGGGAAGGAGGGGCAGTATGGTTCCCCGCCCCCTTTCTTCAATTTAAAGAAAATCCCCCAAGAGATGACCCATATTCAGGGGGAGGAGGGGACAGGTCCTCAAGTGCTCAGACCAAGGAGCTCTGCAGCACATGCTCCAGAAGTCAGGCACAGAAAGCTGGGCACAGGGCTGGGTCCTGCGATGGTACAACAAAGCCAGGAAGAATGTTCTCCTCTATTCCCTTCTATTTCATATGAGGGGGAACTAAGGAGTAAAGACAGCATGTTCCTCACCTGGTTCACTGGAGAGTGACAAAGGGAACTTTGTTCTGAAGGCCTCTTTCCAAATGACTTGGGAGATAAGCTCTTGGCCATCAGGGGCCTCTGGGGCCCCAGAGCACCGGGCCTGGCAGGCCGTGGCTTGGCCAGAACAGTGACATCTCCATGAACTGGAGGCACATGCAGCAGCAGAGACCCTCCCGACCCTCTCTCTCCTGTCTCTGAGCTGGGGGGTTCTCCTCAGCTTATAGCAACCTCCACCTTAGATAGGTTTCTAAAAGCCTCTGGAATAAAGGAGAATCATGGGACAGTTAATGCTGTTTCTTTTAATGGCCAACTCAACCCCACAGCTCTAAGCCAGGGGACAGAACATGGTTACCCATCTTGACGCAGCAGCATTACAAACTGCTCCTAGGCCACAGTGGGCCCTTGGGGAGGGTGCCCCCTTTCTAACAGCCCATCCTCTTCTGCAGCCTTTGGGAAAAGCTGTCAATCACAAGGTTGCTAGAGGGGCAATGGGGAATGCGTGTGCTGGAGAAGTCTTGCTCAGGGTTTCTTTTGAGGGAGAGGACACCCCAGAAGAGCTTCTCCCAGTACCATACCCTACCAGATCAGATTCCTGGGTACACTAAGAGGAAAATTGACACAAATGGGGCAAGATATTTGACAGAAGCTGTTCTTAGGTCAGTTCAGGCCACTTTCTGCAGGGTCCTGGGCCAAACAGGCAGCACCTCTCTCCTGGTGGTTCTTCAAAGCCAGCCGGCCAGGTGCTCAGAGGGACCAGCCCATCAGAGACCCTCGTCATTATAAACGGGGGAATGGGGCTTCAGGACGCTCTGAGGATCCTTCTCCACTAGAGGGCGCCAGCTCACCTCCCCTGTCAGCAGCAGATCCTCACCATTCATCGAGTCCAGGTACTGAATCTGCAAAGGGGTGGGCAGGAAACAGAGGAAAGGTTCAGGGCAGGATAGATGTGAGATCACTAAGGAACTAGGTTTGCAAAGGAGAGGAAGAGGGCGCTTGAGGGAACTTCTGACCATCCCAGCTCTCAGGCCAAGGGCGGCCTCTGATCTCCCAGATTAGTTCACTTAAGGAGGTTTGGAGAAACGAATGCCTGGGAAGCGACCTCGCTGGGAAGGCTAGGGAATTCCCCTTCACGCCCCCGAACAGACACACAGACACAGAAGCCTCAGCTTTCTGGACTGAAAGAACTTTGTAGGGAGGATGTATCAGGGAGACAAAGACAAGTCCTTGGGGGTTGGGGGTTGTGTGCGCACACGTGCGCCTTTTCAGAGTAGCAATGAATGGTACCCAAAGTGAGTCAATTCCCTTCTCTAAGTTCCCTAGACTGAGAAAGGAGATGTCTAGTCTGAGGAATGTGTACCTCACAGGACTTAGGACAAGATTAAATGATAGAATGCACACTGCTCGTCACTGAGACTTCCCTTCTTCTTTTTTAAACTATATATGTTTCCACTGTCCTGTAGCGGGTCCTGACCCCATAGTTAGTGGGCCCTAACTCTGGTCAGTGGACTCCAGCATCATCCCTCTAGGACGGCTGGGGCAGTTCATCCCCAGCCAGCTCTGTGGAGAGGGGCACCTGTGATGGAGAGCAGGAGGGGCTGCAGGGGAGCTGTGGTCAGGCAAGAAGCAGGTGACCTAAGGAGTGCTGAGTCTCAGGAGATGAGAGCAGCCTCCGGGAGGACTCCCCAGGCCCTTGCTAGTAAGGAGAGCAAAGAATGACAAATGCTTTGAAGTGGCCAGGCAAAAACTAGGGTGAGAGCAGGATCAGAGCAGGAATCAGCACTAGATTTAGGAGGATGAGACTCCATTTGGGGGCAAGAAGGCAACCGCGGGGATAAGGGGAGGGACAGGAGTCCAGAGGCCTCATCTCATGCCTTGGATCAGGGTCCCCAACCTCCGGGCCACAGGCAAGTACCTGACCGGGCCTGCTAGGAACCGAACCGCACAGCAGGAGGTGAGCTTGAATGTAATGTGCTTGGATCGTCCCCAAACCACCCCCCACCCCACCCCATGTCCATGGAAAAACTGTCTGCCACGAAGCCAGTCCCTGGTGCCAAAAAGATTGGGGACCACTGCCTTGGGTCATCTCCCTCTTCCAAGAATTCCTTCATTTCTGTTGTTTCACCTCAGCCTGCTGAACTTTGAACTGATTCCTAGTCTCTCATATTACCTCAGGTCTAGATTTCTACGTGTCCGGCTGTCCCCCAGGGCAAGGAGACTGACAGACATACTATCTTCCCACAAAGCCACTCCTCCTTCCAGTGACTCCATTTCTCTCCCTAAGGCCACCCTATGCCCATCTCCTGGGATGAAAATCTCAGCATAACCTGGCTGGCTCTTGGGGCCATCTACCATGGTGCACGACTAGTCTGCTCAGGCCTCAGCTTCCTGGTCTTCGCTGGTCCCCTCGGTCAGACTTAAGTCTCTCCTTTCTTTGTTCCTACCTGTATCACTTCACAAGCTGACTTATTCCAGGGGTAGCCTGTGCCTCATTGGTTTCCTTGCCAAACCAGGAGGCACCTCCTTGATGGCAGGACTGGGATTAATTAATCTCTGCTTTCCGAATAGAGTACCTGGCATAGTACGTGCTCAAAACGGTCAGTGACAGAGCTGGGTCCCCATCAAAGCTCCACACTTCCCTAAGAGCCCCATCACTGGGCAATATGGGACTTCTTAGAGGTACATTAGTGTGGCAGCCCCTTCCTTTAGGACCCTCAGAGAAGTCCCCGCTATGCCCTTGTCGTGGCCCGTGGTGTAACCCACCAGAGTAGATGGAAAAGTTGGGCTGGTCTCTCGGAAAACAGAGCATTTGCTTTGCCAATTGCTACTCCTGGCTGAGGGTAAGTCCAGTGAACAGTATGAGTTTCAGAATTCTGTGTGGGTGGGGCCCTCTGACCATAGTGCCTTCTCTCTGGCTCTGGCAGATTTGAAGAATGATCACACAGAAGTCCTGGTTTCAGGGGTTCTCTACCCTTTGGGCCTGAAAAGCCCAAGTGTGGCTTTTCCAGCAATCACCAAGATGGTCCTGTTGGCCATCTTCTTCTCCTCAAGAGCTGTGGCCTGGCCTTCCTTTTTCTGGCTGTTGGAGGCTTGAAGGCCATGGACACAGGTGAACAAGAGAATGATTGTGGGGCAAGGCCCCTCCAACTCCAGGGGCTGGGCCCAGGAAGCAGAGTCGTGACTCAGGGGACAGCCTGAGCTGATGAGCTGTCTGGAGCAGCTGAGGCCTCTGGCTGCTACATGAATCACCAGCTTGGGGTTGCAGGCCAGCTGTGCAGGTGGCTCACTGGGAGACCCTGGAAAAGCCTCTAGGTTCCTCCTCCCTGCTACTCAGCTCACTCATCTATAAAGTAAGGATTTCCCATCAATACAAGATCGGGGGCAGAGAGATCAAGGAGTGAATTCTCCATGGAGCTTTCTCCTAGAAACTTGGGTGTCAGGGAGCCCTGGAGAGCCAGGCAGTGAGGAATGAAGTTGGGGGGGACCCTATCTGACTATGCAAACTAGGGAGAAGCTTGAGGGATGTCTACAGAATGCTTCCTGGAGCCTGGTTCTGCTGGAAATCAGGCCCAGGAAACATAAATCCTGGAGCTCAAAGTGGTACAGAAGTGGGGCTGCAGTGTACCCCATGCCCATACTTTACAGGACTATGTGTGCCAGGGTCTAGCACAGTACTTGGCATGCAGAAGATAATAAAACATGCAGTGAATGAACAACTAAAAGTTTCTGAAAGCAGGGGACTACTCGGTGCCTTTTCTTCTATTCCCTTCCCCAGAGCCTGGCCTAACTCATGGTGGATACACAGAAAGGGCTCTTCACTGGTGCCCACTGCTGACATGATATGGTCGGAATTCCCTCAGACCGGCCTCTGGGAACTCAGCCTCCCATGATCCTCTGGCAGTCCAGCATTGACAGACCTCAGGAAGGACCTGCTTTCCATGGGACTCTGGAGGAGAGGGGAATAGCTACTCACCTGTTTCCTCACATATTCCACCAACAGCTCAAGATGCCGAGGGTCTTCACATTTCTGGTTGAAGAATGTTCTCCAGAGGGCGGCAGCCAGCCCATGATCATCTGAAAGGAGCCCCTGGGACAGAGAGTACAACAACTGGTCTTCCAGGGAGTATGGAAGAGCCATGATACAAAAGCCAGGGATATTGTGAATATGCTAGTAACCACAGAATTGGCCCAGAAGCACATTACAGACACTGAGAAACAGGGAAGCTACATGGTAGAGCTGGAAGGAGTTTTCAGAGAGTATTTGGTCCAAACTCTTCATTTTTATACAGAGGAGAAACACGGAAACCAGAGGGGTAAGTGACTGGCTAAAGCTGATGCAGAGATGGGGCTCACGTCTGGCGGACCCTCCCAAACCACAGCTCCCTCTACTCAGCAGTGGTTCCACTGCGTCCACAAGGTGTGGGCTCAAAATAATGTGAAGGTATATTCTTTCCCCAGGAACAGAAGTGGGTGTGGACTGCACCTTCTCTCCTGGCCCAACGGCATATATCTGCAAGGCAGCTGGCCCTTTGGGGAAGGAAACTAGGCACGTCAGCTTCAATGCCACCCAGCTCTAGGACTGGCCATGGCTGGCCCAGCCTCTAAGTAGAGAAACAGGCTGTTCAGCAGGATTACCACGGGTCACAGAGGGGCTGCTCAGAGCCTACGTGTATGTGTGCCTGACATTGTCTCTCACCGCACAGAGGAGACCTCTGTTGGGAAGTCCAAATATCCCAGAGGCTAATCAGCAGCTGGGACATGGACCAGGGCCATTTTCTAGCCTGGACCTCTAAGGGAGGGCGGGGGAGGGTCTTGCTTCCTGGGGTAAGGGTGACTAAAGGAAAGGCCCTGAGAGGTTGCTCTGTCCAGGTGCCAAGGTAGTGTGTGGAACCAGACAAAGTACTGACCGGGAGTTAGAAAGCTGGATTAAGTCCTAGCTCTGTCATTGCCAAGCTCAGAGATGGTGGGCAATTCACTAAACCTAAGTCTCAAACTTCTCAGCCATAAAAGATGAAAATACTTACCCTTCTCACAGCATCCTTGAATCATAAACATAAGATGTAAAGATGTTTTGTTAAGTGTAATATGTTGCATACAAAGATTAGGAGCTCGTTTTGGCAGGCATCTGTGGATAATGGCTGAAACAACAGTGGGATCTGGGGATCAGACCACTTGCGTTCAAATGGCAGCTCTGTCAGTTGATGGCTATGTAGCCTTTTAAAAGCTACTGGCCCTTCCTGAGCCTCAGTTTCTCATTGGTTAAACAAGCCAGTGATACCTATTCCACAGAGATGTTGAGAGAATTATAAGATCATGGCCATGATGCCCTGGCTGGTTGGGTGGCCCAGTGGATTGAGCACTGGTCTGCGAGCCAAAAGGCTGCCAGTTTGATTCCCAGTCAGGGCACATGCCTGGGTTGCCGGCCAGGTCCCCAGTTGGGGGCATATGAGAGGCAACTATTCGACGTTTATCTCACACATGGATGTTTCTCTCCTCCTCTTTCTCCCTCCCTGTGCCTCTCCCTAAAAATTACATAAAATCTTTTTTAAAAAAAGGAAAAAAAGAAGAGGTCATGGCCATGAATTGACCCTGTAAGTGGTAAATCATTACACAAAGACCCAAGACCATTTATTTGACATATGTTGCGGGCTGACCCTCCAGGACATTGTAGTGTATGAGGTCTGGCTTCAGGTCTGCTGCCAGGAAAAGCCATGTCCAGAAATAGTCCACCTATTCCAAACGCCCCTGCTAAACACCCCTACAATCCCATCACTTAAGAGACTATCCTGGCACAATGGCTGAATGAGGAAAACCAGCTTCTTCCGGTAGAAGGGGACAGGGGCCAAGGACAAGCTCAGGCACATCACCGTTTTCCAAGCCATTTGCTCACACAACAGCCTGCCTATGTCTGAAGCGCCCTGGGCACATGCCGGAGTGCTGCTGGCAGCAACCCACCGGCACTACACGGGAAGGAGCAGGAGTGCGAGTGGGTGTTATGAGGACTTGGAGAATGAGCACAGAGCACAAGACAGCAAGCGCCTGGGAGCCATGGCCTGCTGCAAACAGGCAGCCTTGGCAGTGGGTGAGATGGCTGCAAAGGGGTGAACTCATAATCAGTTCCTGGTTGTCAAAAGGAAAAGGATGTCTCAAGACTCAAATTAACAGGGATAACAAGCTTGACAGTTCCAGAGTTCCTTCTCACACCTGGTTTCTAATGACTATGGTTGCCAAGAACAGATATCATTGTCCCCATTTGAAAGAGAAGTACACTGAGGTTTAGAGGTTATCTAGCTAATTGGTGGTGGAACTGGAACCAGAATACACTGGTGAGGTCAGGGGCCAGTGCCTGACTAGCTCTAGTAGGATGCAATACCTGGCACAGGGCGGAAGGGCAATAAAAGCGGTTAAATAAATCTACAAACCCAGCCAGCCTTCGTTCCGCCACGCTGCTACTAAGTCAGTGAAAACATGGGAGACTGGTCTGTGAGAGTGTAAATTTCAAACCAAGGGTTCAGGAAAAAAGGGTGACTTGGGACCAAAAATTAAGTTGCATAGCAGTTTTCCCACAATTTACTAGGGGGCCTACTTATTTTCTCTCCGTTAGAAAAAAGCATCCTTCAGGAAATGAAGATACCTAGGTATAGAGTAACCAAGAGAAAGCCAAAGGGACTGTCCTGGCACTAGAGGGCTCTGGCGATAATTAAGGGTTTAGAGTAGCAGTCTCAGTGAAGACTGATTTGACACCAAGATATGCTTAGCATGATGCTAGGAACACAATCAGAGCAATATGGTCTCAGCTCATAGGCAGCCTGCAATTTAGTTGAAGGGACAAAGCCAGTGCGCATCCAACAGGCTTAAATCCTGGAGAATGAGCAAATGTTGACCTGCATAAGGAGACTTGGAGGTGTAAATACTCTGCTCATGGCCGGCTCCCCATTCTTGAGCCTTAGCTTCTGTAACTTTTCAGAGACCTTCCCACGCTAAGTACATTCCCCATTACTCTCTCGCTGGAGTCTATTTGTAATTAGATACATATTTGTTTACTTGCTTACTGCTTATCTTCTCATTCGAAGGTAATGGGGAGATAGTAAATAAGTGGGAAAGAACCAGACCATGTTTGTTTTTTATTCACCAATACATTCCCAGTGCATCATACATGGTAGACACTTAATAGCTGTTAAGTTGATAGATGGATGGATATTGAAATGCAGAGTAAAAGACAGAGACCTAGAGAGGTCAGGGACAGCTTTGTGAAGAAGGGGGGCCTTTAGCAGTGGAGACTATGTGGAGAACTATAGGTCATTCTAAGCATGAGAGAATAATTTTAGCTGACTAAACATTTATGGAGGGGATGCCCACAAGGTGCCAGGCCTTGAACCAGGCCCACAGGGCCAAAGCGGACAGGCTCAGCCACTGCCCTCTAAACCCAGCTGTCCAGGAGAGCCTTCATCAGGCACAGCACATCTGCAGGGCAGTGAGGCAACTGGCCCCACATCAGCAGAACCTGGGAGACAAATGTGGATAGAACATTTCACAATGGGGATGGTTTGCAAAGGCCTGAAGTTCCTTTGGACTGAACGTAGTGGGCAAACAGGAAGGTTCCAAAAGTGTCCAGGGTAGGGGCACAATCCAAGCAAGAGCCTAGGGACAGGGTACACCAGTACAATACCTCCCAGATGAAATTACTCTCCTGATGGGACTGTTCTACAGCACTGCCGTCCGCTACAGTCGCCACCACCCACATAGATAATACTGCGTGCCTGACATGTAACTAGCGCAACCGAGGAACTAAATTTATTATTTTATTTTAATGAATTTAAACCAAAGTAACCACATGTGGCTAGTACTGGACAGCACAACTCTAGAACATTCTGACTCCCAGTATGGTCTGCAGAGTTTCTGCATGCATATCACTCATAGCTTGTTAGCAATGCAGAATCTCAGGCCGTACCCCAGACTTGCTGAGTCACAATCTGAATTTTATCTGCACATTAAAATTTAAGAAAAACTGCTCTAGAATTACATATTAAAATTACCCAGGGGACTTTTACAACTATAGATACCTACCTATACCAGTTAAATCAGAACTTTTGGGGAATAGGGCCCAAATATTGGTATTTATAAAAAGTGTCCCAGGTGATTAGTATATTTCTTAAACTTTCCCACTCTTAAGAGTTACCTAGGGTATTTGTTGAAATACCAGGCCCCACTCCTATTAAACTGGAATCTTCAAAGAGGTTCTCAAGAATCAATTATTTTTTTAAATTTTATTTATTTATTTTTAGAGGGAGGGGAAAGGAAGGAAGAGAGAGAGGGAGAGAAACATCAATATGAGAGAGAAACATTGATCAGTTGCCTCTCGTACATGTCCTGACCAGGGATGGAACCTGCAACTCAGGCATGTGCCTAGACTGGAAATGTAACTGGGTGGTGACCTTTTGCTTTGCTGAATGACACCCAACCAACTGAGCCACACCAGTCAGGGCAAGAATCAAATTTAAAAAGCACCCCAGGTGCCTCGACTGCGTGGTTCACTTGGCTGGAGCATCACCCCTTACACTAACAAGGTTGTGGGTTCGATCCCTGGTAGGCGTGTGTACAGGAAGCAACCAAGTGATGATTCTCTCTCGCATCAATGTTCTTCTCTTTCTTCCTCCTTCCCTCCCTTTCCTCTCTCTCTAAAATCAATAAAACATATCCTTGGGTGAGGATTAAAAAAAAAAAAGCATTCCAGTTAACTCCTGTGATCAGGCATGATCGTAAGATGGCTCTTTTCCAGGATGGCCTGGGATAGGGGACAGAGAAGAGAAACAATTCAGGATATCTTTATTAATACTGGTGAAAGGAATCAACTGAGTCACCCGACATAAAGACTTCAAACAAATGCTAATAGAGATTTCTATGTCTTCAATTCTAAGCTTCATTCTATTTTTTAAAAGATTTTATTTATTTATTTCCAGGGAGAGGGGAAGGGAGGGAGAAAGAGAGGGAGAGAAACATCAATGTGTGATTGCCTCTCGTGGGACCTGCAACCCATGCACGTCCCATGACTAGGAATTGAACTGGCAACCCTCTGGTTTGCAGGTCAGCCCTCAGTCCACTGAGCCACACCAACTAGGGCTAAGTTTCATTATTTTATATACTGTAAGGCTCTGAAATCAGAATATATCTCATTTAGCAACTAATGTGTAGATTCAAGCAGTGTTTCTCAACTCCCATTCCACTCCCAGAAAGTTCATCTTACATTAATGGTGCGTGTGGTATGAAATCTAAATTGCTCATATAACTGAGGCTATCTGGTGGATTGGGAATCAGGAAACCTCAATCTTAACTATGCCCTATGACCCTAAGCAAGTCATTTAACTTAATTTTTTGTAAGCTTATCTCCTGGCTTTAACTATTATCTTTAGGTTGTAGCATTTCCTCCAGCCTGAATTCTAGTTTCTTACTTTCACACTTTCATGCATTTCCTCCCTTCCTTCCTCTTCACCTACCCCATGCCAGGCACCATGTTAGCCAATAGAAACACAAACATAGTAGATACTGCCACTACTCAGAAGAAATCCCCACCCAGCCAGGATGACAATTAACACTAACGTAGTCAGGGCTGGGGAGTCCAGGGAGGGCATGATGAGCTGGGCCTGGGGAAGTTCTGGGACCGTTTCCCAGAAGGGGCGATGCTTACATTAAATCTGGAGGTAACCACAAAGTGAACATAAAAGCACATGGTTTATTAAAAAAGATGAGGTATGATGAATCCTGGTGGTGTGCATTCAGGTATTCATTATACCATTCTTTTAACTTTTCTATGTGTTTGAAATTTCCATAATAACTGTTAGGGGAAAAAAGATGAGACAGATGCTACAACATGGATGAACCTTGAAGACATTATGCTAAGTGAAATAAGCCAGACACCAAAGGACAAAAACTGTATGATTCCACTTACATGAGGTATTTAGAGCAGTCAGCATTACAGAGACAGAAAGCAGAATAGTGGTTTCCAGAGGCCGGGCCGGGGGGGTGGTGAGCTGCGGGGGGTGCTGGGGGGAATGGGAGAACAGTGTTTCATGGGTTCAGAGTTTCAGTTTGGGAAGATGGAAAAAGTTCTGGATATGGATGGTCGTGACTGTTGCTCAATAATGTTAACGTACTTAATGTGACTAAAATGTACATTGAAAAATGGTTATATGTTTATGTTATGTATATTTTATAATAAAAAAATTGAGAGATCTAAATGGTCTGATGTGGAGGAATGCCCAGATATACTGTTCGGTGAAAAAAGCAAGTTGCAGGACAGTGTGTATAGTGTGAGTCCAATTTGCATAAAGAAAATAAATACGTGGTGCTTGTGTGTGCCCAGATGATGTCTGGGAGGACACCTAATCGCCTGTTAAGAAAGTTTTCCCCTGGGGCAGGCAAGTAGGCAGGCTAGGAAAGGGGCCTTCTATTTTCTACCCCAAACATTTATGTATAGTCTTATGAATTTTTTAAATGAGGCTGTATTGCTTTTATAATTAAAGACAAAAAAGTGTGTAATTGGTCTGGCAGATGGTGCTATTTACATGTATTCATCTTCCTCTCTCCGGGGGCACCTGGGGCTGAGAGTGACTGATTTGCCTTAGTTCCTTCACCCAGCTCCCCATAGGCACTCAACAAATGCTGACTAGTAGAATGATCTGCCCGTGTTATATAGTGTTCTCTTTTCCAACCACAGGCAGCCTAGGGCACATTCATTCTCGTTGCCTGTGAAGATGAAGTAAACACTGAGACGTAAGGGCAGGTTGTGACAGTCACTGAAGTTTCCCTCAGAGACTCTCATCACAAGCCTTTGTTGGGGGAAGCCACTGTCTGCCTAAGGCTTCACAAATGATCTTACCTCATCATATCCCAAGATTGCTGCATAGAAACTATTTGTCATAACCATCATGTTCTTCTTCAGGATATAGGGATTAACCTACAAGAAACAAAATCGCAAAAACACAAGTGTGAAAGAAAGGAACAAACCAAAAAGTAGGATCTTTGGTTTTAGCTGTCAAACACTCTTAGAACAAAGAGAGAGGGTGGCCTAACAGGTCACACTGCCAGTTCACCCCATTTCCCTGATCTGTCAGGATTTTCGCCAGTCGATGGTTTCTTTTAGGTTTTGATGCCACATGACACAAAGCAACAACTCAGTTTATTGAAGCTACTATGGCAGGTTTTGTGCTAGATCCTACAAAGTAGAAGAAACAGTTTCTTGACTGAAGGAGCACACAGTCTAGTACTGGAAAACAGGCATGTAAAAACTACAGTTGACCCTTGAACAATATGGGTTTGAACTGTGTAGGTCCACCTGTACACACTTTTTTCCAGTAAGTACCTGTACTGTTTTCCACCCACAGCTGGGAGTCCGCGGATGATGAGGGCCAACTGTACGTATTGATCTACACCCCTTACATAGGGGACTTGAACATCAACGGATTTTGGTATCCGCAGAGGGTCCTAGAACCAATCCCCCATGGATACCAAGGACAGTTAAGTTTTGGGAAGGTCAAAAGTTATACATGGACTTTCAGCTGTGCAGGGGTTCAGTGTCAGATTGTTAAGGGTCAACTGTAATTATTCTGCAATGTGTTACCTCAAATTTTATTCCAAAAGTGGTGACCCATAAATGAATTTTGATATGCATGATCTCTGCTTGGGGGACTGGGGAAGACTTCTCTAGGAGGTAACATTGAAGTGGACCTTGGAGGAGGAGTCGTCTGACAGAAGAGAGCAAGGGGGGGAGGAGGTGGCGTTCTAGACAGGGGGGAAAAGGTGTGCAAAGGTGCAAAGGCAGGTAAGAACATTTAGGGAGTGAGGGATGTTAGAGAGGGGTGAATGGTAAGATATGTTGGGTCTAGGTTAGGAAATGTCCTAAGGATCATTAGAAAGAGCTTGTTGTGGTAAAGGGACAGAAGGAAGTGACAGATGTGGGGACAGAAGGGAGAGGGTCAGGACTCTGAGATGCTGAGGAGAAAGGGGGGACTCGGAGAATGGCCAGGAGGGCCTTCAGAACCCAGAGTGAAGTTCACTGAAAACCTTCAACAGGGTAAAACTTTGACCTCCAGACCTCAAGATACATGCTCAAGGGCAGGATCCAGGTTTCATTCTGCTCTGGAATCCCAGCAGAAAGCCTGGTGTAATGTGTAATACACAGTGGGACTCATTAAATATTTAAGCTGACAGGTTTTAGAAACAACCAAAACTCATGTGGAACTTAATGTGGAGAGTAAGATTCCTCCTTAACAACCCTGACCTTGACCATGATCACCACCATCTCTTCCATTTACTGAGTACTGGTTAAGGGCCAGCTGCTTCATGGACATCATCTCCTCTAATTGTCATGAGAACTCAGAGAGGTAGATGTGCTAGAGTCATGCTTTTATAGAGAAAGAAAACTGAGTCTCAGACAGGCAAAGGGACTTGCCCTAGGTCCCATCACAAATTAGTGATAAAGCTGAGAAATAGCATCTGGGCCAGTCTGATTCCAAAGCCCATGTGCCCTTCATTCTATCAGGTTTCTGTCTTCAGGAGGATAATTTTACTTTGGATCATAAATCAATCACTGAGTGATTTAATCTTGTGGTTTATAACTGGTCTCTAAAGAAGGACAAAGAAAAATAGTGAAGGATTTAGTCAGAAAACCTGGGTTCAAGTAATTAATTCTGCTATATAAATAGGATGTAATCTTGGGTAAATCAAGTAACCTCTGAGTCTATTTCCTTGTCTTTTAAATGTCTTAGATACAGGGCTGGTATGAAGAGCAAATGAATTAGCATGCATTCATTAATTCAACAATGTATGCTGAAAGGTTTAGTAAGTTATGAAGTGCTCTGTAAAATCAAGGAATTATTGGTTTGTTTTCATAAAACGAAATTCAGTTCTAATACTTAATAGTCATGTTTAATTTTCAAAAAGGAAAATAGAACTGTGAAGCTCAAGACTGGAAAATGTAAGACGGGGAGCAGGCTGGTAGTACAATCCATGACCTTTCTACCCTACCTTCAACACAGGCCAAATGAGCCATCCATCCTTTGTGTTTCCAGAGCTCTCTGTCCACACTTCTCCCCCTTGGTGCATAACATGGTTTAGAGTTGCTTATGTACCTGTCTCTCCCACTAGTCCATGAACTACTTAAAGGTCATAAGGAACTCTGTCTGATTATCTCAGCGCCCCCAGCACCCAGTCCAGGGCCCGGCCCCGAGCAGGGTTTAAGACTGGCATGCTGATGACTGAATCCTTACAAGGGCCTGACTGCCATGCACAGCATGTTCTATCCAGTGGTACCCATCTGTTTGTTTCCTTTTTTTGCTGCTGAGTACCTTGCATGTTTCTGAAATTTCAGAAACACATACTGCCAAACTTCTACTGCCTCATCTACTAGAATGGGCTAAAGTGAAAAGAGTCAAGACACAAGCCAGAGCTAGATTGGATTCTTTCTGTAATGTGAGGATGGGACTACTACTCAGACCTGCTGGTATCGACTTTGGAGCTCTCCCTACTCCCATACTAGTTGTTTTCCTAATTGTACAAAAAAGAACCAGAGCCATAAACGGACAATGTCAGAGATGTCAGGCAGGAGCATCTCTGAGAGGTAAACAGTCACTGAATCTGCTCCCAGAGCTGGTTCATGTGTTGTATCAAACCAGTAGGCTCTGGAGCTGGGAGGGCCCTCAGAAATCACCTGGCTCAAGCCCTTTGAGGAAATGGTAAGCTGAGACCCAAAAAGGAGAAAACACTTAACCAAGGACTCATATCAAGTTAGCGTTAGAGCCAGGATTAGAACCTGATTTCTGGACGAGTGCTTTTTCCTGTGTCACCATCTGCAGGGCACTTCCAGAGATCAACACATTAATCTGCAAACCTCAGTTCTTGCTTTCCAGCAAGGCCTGTTTACACATGAACACACTCTCTCCTCTTGGGATGCACCTGCATTCAGGCTAGCTATTACCCAGCAGGAGTGGAGAGCAGGAGTGGAATTCCTCATTAGCAAGGCTCTTCTACCTCTTTGTCCTATATCCTAACTCCAGTGACCTGGAAGCTACCTCTCCCCTTCACCTCTAGCTAAGAAATGGCAAGCTGCCCCAGCTAGAAATGGTTTTCAGATATCATCACCCAGGCTGGATTAGATCATGAAAAGGGCCCTTCCTGGAAGAGGGTGGAAGCTCGATCAGTGCAGACACATGATATGCAGGCAACAGGTGAGAGTAAGTGAGAACAGCTTCCTAACTACTGGACTCACCCCACTGGGCCCTTCTCGCCAGCCCAACAGCCAAGGGGAGCTGGATATTCCCTCTAGCGAACCTCTGTTGGGGTTTTATTCTCTCACTCGGCTCTTGTTTACTGGTGTGCAGGCCCTGTGTCCCCACGGCCAGATCATTCTATATGGAGCACCCTGTCCATGAACACACAGACGGAGAAACTCCTCCCAGATTGCACTGGGCTGTTTTCTTGTCAAACGCTTATCCTTTCCATAATGCTTTACTTTTTCTTTTTTTCTTCATAATGCTTTGCTTTTTATAAAAACCCATACATACAGCACCACCACAAGGAAAAGGTTCCTTTTATATCTGTTACTCATATTTTCCCATTTATTTAAGCTATTAAAATTCATGCAGATATTTTATAAGCCATCAGGATTTGGTGACTGGTATTACTGAATGTTTAATAATAAACTAAACAGAAGAAATCAGAGGGTTAAATGATGACTGCAATTCCTGTAATGACTTAATTAAATTTTTATTGAGTACATAAACTATGATGTCATTTCTAGCCAACCATGGGTGTGCTTTCCCAGCATGTCACAGGGTGGGAGCACGCAATAGGAGGCTAGGCTAAATGAGCAGCAAGTCTCAGCTGAAATGGGGAGGGGAGCAAGGCTCATGTAACGCACTCAATAAATTATCCGTTCATTTTTAAACAAAGTCCATGAGTTATAATATATTTGCCATGCACTTTTTATGACATAATAAAAATGTTACCTTAAGGATTACTTAACACATACTACAAATGTTATAGCAGAGGCAGGCACAAGGGGCAAAGAAAACAAACATGAGCAGGCCAGAGACGGGTCCTGGAGTTTACGTCCCGGGGGAAGAGCATAGTATATTAAAAAGGGAATGCAAAGAAGGGAGGGGGGTGCAAGAGTTCAGGGTCACTAATCAGCAGATTAATGAATGAGACAACCAACAGGGAGCACGAGTAAAGCAATAATGAATCTTCCAAGGCACATGTTTAATTAGTGTAGTATTCTTGAGGAGGAATATTAGCTTTAAAGAGATGCCAGTTCATTTGAGGCCAATTCACTGCCCTCTTTCCCCTTTTTGCTGTTGCTGCTCTTAAAAGACGTTTATGTGACTGCTTAACAGAGAAACCTGATTATGTAGATGGGGGGACTAATGGAAGGTCAAATTTAAACTCCTCTATCAGCTCTGAGAGGTTCTCTGTGATCTGTTCTTGGTAGTTTTTCCTGCCTCACCTCCTCCCACCTCTGCCCTTTTATCTCCTTTTTCAGTCAGAGTAAATAAACTATGAGCAATTTCCACAAACATGTCAGGTGCTCTTACAGCTCTTCAGCATGCTGCTGCTGGGAATCCTTCTCCTTTCTTTACCCACTGGGGTGCTCACTCCTTATTCTCTAAGACTCACCTTACAAATTATCTCTTCTACAAAGCCACCTCTCTCCCTAGTCTGCAAGTGCCACAAAAGTGATTTGAATCCAGAAACAGGTCCCATAATTCACTGTTTATCATGTGTCAAGAAATACGCTAAGGGCTTTATATATGTGAGCTCATTTAATCCTTCCCAACAACTCTCTGAGATGGGTACTGTTACTATCCCCACTTTAGGGAAAAGAAAACAGGTTTAGAAAGGTTAAAGGTTACACAGCCAGGAAATAGTTGGTCAAGATTAGAATACACGGCAATCTGACAC